GTCAGGCCCTGTACTCTGTTTTACTGTATTACTGTTCTGCAGGCCTTCGGTAATCTCGGATTACTGGCCGGTTACGGTACTAAACCCATAGGGCCGGGTTTGGGTCGTGACAGTTATGTGTTATGTAATGTAAGTGGGTAAATTAACATTTTTGGCATGTAAATATTTTTTCATATATATGCACAGCTCTTTGGACTTATGGCATTTTGTCTTTACTTCCGCTAGCCCCGATTATTTATGTTTTGTACAGGAAGGCCTTTGGTAATCTTAGATTACTGGCCGGTTACAACGCTAAACCCATAGGGGCAGGTTTGGGTCACGACAGGATGTTTGTTGTTAGAGTTGGAGTTGGAGTAGGAGTTGATACAGGTTGAGATGATTGCCCACTAGTAGATCTCTATTGCAATAAACAAATTAAGTATACAACAAACAAATAACAAAATGTGTACAATAAATGAATGCATAAGTATACACTAAGCTTCACCATTTTGGACTTAGGATGCAGTTTGTTCTTGCATGACCTCTGATTGTGCCCCTTCTGCAAACACTTAGCACATGTCACATTGATGCTCTTCCTTGATGCCTTGTGTGGATTTCTTGGCTCATCTGCTTATTTGTTTCTTAACTTCTTTGGTCTGCCTGCTAATTTCTTTGCTTGTGGTGGATTCAATTTCTGGCCACTTTCCTCATACTCATGCATGTCTGGAACTGGGTGTATCGTGAATGCATAAGTATCCAAGTACCTAGACTCGCAGTAATACTCATGCGCATAGGCTTCTGGCTGCTCATAATTGATTTGAATGGCACTGATGGCATGACTCCAAAGCAAACTAGACAAATCCCATCTCTTGCAACTGCATGTCCTAGTACTTAGGTCCACTATGTACCTCATCTGAAAATGATCAACCTCAAATTCCAATTGTCCACACCAGGTTGCAAAGCAGTTCCTTGATTCCATCTTCAACTTCTCAAGTTTGTCATGAATATTGGGACAAATCTCACCATTGTATTTTGCCATTCCAGCCTTTTTAACTTGAATCATTTGCATCATTTTCCTTATGATCCATTCAAACATGGAGATTATTGGTAGCTCTCTAGCTTCTAAAATGTAAGAATTGAATGACCCACTCAAATTGTTCACAAGGATGTCACACTTGCTCCTTGGAGAAAAATGTGACCTTGCCCACAAAACAGGGTCAGTCTCCCTCAACCACTTCACAACTGTCTTCCTATTTACAGTCTTAGGATCAGCTTCTTCAATCTTCTTTATCTAATAATTGAATTCATGTACATTTCCACTTGATGCAGCTTTCCAGAACAGGTCTTTCAACACACAACCACTGTATTTTGTCTTAAAGTTACTATACACATGTCTCAGGCAATATCTGTGATCTGCAGTAGAGTATAACTCTGCAAATGTTTCAACCAACCCCTTCTGTATGTCTAATATAAATGTCCACCCCATCTCCTCAACACTCCCAATATCACTCATCAATTCCTCAAGAAACCAAGACCAAGAGGCTTTACATTCTATCTTAATCAAAACCACTGTAATAGGATACATGTTGTCATTTCCATCTCTCCCAATAGCACTGAGTAGCTGCCCTCCAAAAATCTCTTTCAAATGACAACCATCTAGTCCTATTATTGGTCTACACCTTGCTAGAAATCTATCTTTCTGTGCACCAAGTCTGAAATACATTATTTCAAATGTAGGCTCTATCTTTTCAGGATTAGTTATTATTAAAATGTGTGAGGTTGAATTTTTCCTAATAACTGTAGCTGCATAATCCCTAATCCTGTGATATTGCTCTACCAAATCCCTTGCAATTATCTCCCTTGCCTTTCTTTTTGCCCTATATATTTGAAACCTTCTTGCATCCGCCATTATCTCTCTTTTAATTTTTTTCTTGAAAGAGGCTATATTAATAGAGGGGCCATCTCTCACCTCATCTACAAACTTTTTCCCGAAATACTTAGAGTTGGCTTGTTTGTTATTGTAATGCCTCCTACATGTGTGTTTCCCCTCTAGAGTTTTGATCTAAAAGGTTGTGGTTCCCCCAAATAGAGAGGCATGTATCCTCCAAGTACACCCATGCCTACAAACAGCAGTGATCCTAGCACTCTCATTTCTGATGTACTTTATATCATAACCATGCACCACATTAAACTCCCTCAAATACTCTCTGAAAACTTAGGGACTAGGAAATTTCATTCTAACTACAAGTTTGGGATCCTTCATCATCCCTTCTTTGCATTCTGGGTATCTAGCATCATCTGCCTCATCTAATGACCCTTTTAGATTAATCAATTCATCATCGTCATCATCAATATCTGAATACCAGCCAACATTATCTGGTAGATTGACTTTACGTGGGGGTCCTTCAATTCTTTTGTGTGAGGTTTCATTAAAAATGTCATCATTTGGACCCTCTAGGTCTTCATATAACCAATTTTGGTCATCACTTTCCTCTGCACTATCCTCAGAAGTTTCAGTATCGCTATATTCTTCACTATCTATATAGTCCAAGTCCTCAGAATCATCACTATCAGTTTTCTCTTCATCAACCAAAAATTCAGTCTCGCTATGTGCACTGTCACTCTCATCAGCCTCATTACCTTCTACAAACTCAGTGTCAGTAGTATGGTGCAACCCCTCCTCATGTTGTGTATCATTACCGTAATGCTCCCTTCCTATTTGACTCTCCCTATAGCCTAATTCTGACTTGATTTCTCACCACCCTCACATTCCTTACCCACATCCTCACCCCCAGCTACCTCTGCACTATCATCTGAGTCATTCCCAATGTCATTAACTATGATGTCAATATCAGACAAGTTTATATCAATAATGTCTGTGTCACCACCACACATGGCATTACCACCAGGTTCTGTGTCAATATCATAATAAAGGTCTCTTAACTCAAACATGGACATTTTGTCAAAGTCATAGTTAATGAGAGGGTGATTTGTGACCTGGAGTTGGGCCGAGGCAACGGCCGAACAGGTTGAGAGCCCAACGGTGCATGGGGTAGAGATGATCGACTATCCGCCCAGAGATGGGCTGCCAGAACTTGGGTCGGGCAGAACTTGGGCCAAGTGTGAGCCGCCCCGGACCGAAAAGAAGCTCGCCAAGGTAGTGCTCGGTTGGACCGAGCTGCCTGATCAGGGGATGGCTGAAGCCAGACAGGCTGAGTGACCGGCGCCCGAAAAGACGTGGTCAACCGAGGAGACCGTTTGATCGGCAAGAAAGCCGACCAAAGGAGGTGCCCGGGCTAGGCTCTGCCGAGATGCTGCCTAGTCCGGTCCTCCTTGTGTTTATCTAGTGAGGTGCTTGGGTATGAAGCATAGCATGGCCGTGGTAGAGCAGATCGGCTGCCGAGCTCCAGCTGTGAAGTCAGGCAGTTGAGATTAGGTGATGTTCAGCAAGGTTTATGCTGACAGATGGGATAGCGGAGCCACATGTAAGGAGACGACTGGGAGTAGATACGGGGCACAGAGGGTATATAAGCATGTCTGCGCCCCCCATACGCGACGGATGAACACTTTGTAAGGATTTTCTTACACAAAAAACAAAGCGACACTTTAATTAATTAATTATTTTTTGGGACTTACGTGTAGATCCTATTAAGTGGATTTATCTAAACACTCAACACTCTCCCTTCTCTCTATCTATCCCCTGGTGTGTGTTCTAACTTGACTGTCGGAGGGTTTTTCCGGCCACACACCGCCGGGTAGCTCACCGTTACTTGCTCGCAGGTGATCGGACATCGACGGAGCTCGGAAGAAAGGAGTACGGGCTTGCCGGAATATTTGCTTCCCGTACAATTGGCGCCGTCTGTGGGAAGCTTGACAGACAAAACCTTGTCTTCCAGGTTCATCTGATCGCCGTCCATGGCGAACAACGATGAGTTTCCGTTGTCTGCCATAGATGGAGCTACCCCGGAGTTCACCCGAAGGAGAGAAGGCCCTCTCGCCATCCATCCAATGGCGAACTTGGGGACGCCCACCGGAGGACAGTCAGGAGACGCGCGGGACAAGCGCGGAAGAAGTCACGGACATTCACGGAGTCCGGACAGTCACCGGCGGAGGAGAGACTCACACGTCAGGCGACTGGAAAGTAAGTTGAGAGATCAAGATGCTGTCATTCGGCAAATGGCGGCGGAGATGGAGGATCTCAAGGGGCATGTCAAAGGAAATGGTGTAGTTAGAGTGGGAGACCACAGTGAGCGCACCCCGTCCCGCCGTTCAGGAGGTCAGAGTCAGCGACGTACTCAGTCCATATCCATTACCAGAAGTTACCAGGTTGGTGATTCCGACGCGGGTGCAGAGAAGTCTAGCGCGCAAGACAGCACCTATAAACCCTCACGTCCGGAGACGACGTCGAGGTACTCTTACTCTGCTCAGTTAGAGGATTTACGGGCGGTCTTAAAGGAGCGGGCTCGCCGGCGCGAAGCTCAGAGAATACCTGCCTTCCAGCGGCTATCCTACGGGGTTCACGCCAGCGAGGAGGTCGGAATGCCTCCACCCCGCCAAGTAGTGCCACTCTTTGAAGATATAGACTTGGCTAGGCTGAGTGCCACCTCTTTTTCCCTGGATATAGAAACAACACCTTTTCCGGCAAGCTTCCACCAGCCTAAGTTCACACTTTACGACGGAAAAACCGATCCATACATGCATGTGAGCCACTTCCGACAGGTTATGGCCGGACATAGGCGCAATGACGGACTTATGTGCCTAATCTTCCCGTCAAGTTTAGGCGAGCTGGGCCTAAAGTGGTTCGAGAGGTTGCCGGAAGGGAGCATACAAAGGTGGCATCAGTTGGCCGAGGCGTTTGTTACACGCTTCAAAACCAACACAAAGACACCAAAGGAAGTCGATCATTTGCTAAGTGTCAAGATGGAACCGAGCGACACACTGAAGGTATACAACTCAAGGTACTGGGAAGCCTTCAACGAGATCTTGGACTGCCTGGTCAACCTTGCAATCACGCAATACAAGCGTGGTCTCCCGGTCGGACATAGACTGCGGGACTCGCTTACCATGCACCAGCCGACCTCCATGGGCCAGCTCATGCAGCGCATCAATGAGCACATCCGAGTAGAGGATGATGCGTCAGCCTCTACCGTGAAGGCCACTCCGGTAGCAACGGACAAGAAGACAGCAGGCAAAGTACACGTAGTTGGGCAGGAGTCCAGCCGCTCAGGTGACCGAGCAGAGGAATCGGACCGTGGTTCGAATCGTAAGAGCCGGGGTAGAGGACGTCGGAATGACCGGGATGACTACCCCCGAGATGATGTAGCAGACGCAAACAGAAGGATGAAGGCAAGGACTGGCATAACCATGGTCTTCAAGATTCCAATCTATCGCATACTTAGTGAAATCCGAGACGAGGAGTATGTCCGGTTTCCTGCTAAGTTGGGCGATGGACAAAAGGGCTATAATCCGCAGTATCGTTGCACGTTCCACCGGGAGCGAGGCCACCGGACTGAGGATTGTTTGCCTTTGTGGCAACACTTGGAAGAGCTGGTTGCGGCTGGGCATCTAGACCTTTACATTGATGGCGGCGTGAAGCCGAATCAGGCTCCTGTCAATCTCAGGGTACAGGATGACCGAGACGCACCACCACAAGGAGTTATTAATGTCATCCACGGCATCGTGGAACCGGAGCGTGTCTGCGAACTCCGGGGCATGATAAAAAAGGCAGAGCATATGAGGGAAGTTTTGTCGGTACAGCCAACCATCAAAAGGGGGAAGACTGAAGAAAAAGACGTGATTAGTTTCACCTCGAGGGATCTAGAGCGCATCCAGACGCCGCACAACGATGCCCCTAAAATCCTAACCCTAGATCTATAGTTTTTAGAGAGATGGTAGGCAGTGATTGCAGCAATGTTGGGTTGCAATCTGGGTTTATGGCGGTTGGTTACAATCTAGGTCGCGATCGGGAGAAGAAGGAGAGGAAGAGAAAGAAGATGAGGAGAGAAGGAAGACGAATTGCAGAACTGGTAGAGCTGGGTTTGTGGGGCTTTTGGATTGGGTTTGGATTGGGTTTTGTGGAAAATTCTTTAATTGGCATTTTAGTGCATTATGGGCATTATGGGTATTTTAGTGCTTACATTAGATGACATCAGCAAGGTCTGTTAGGTATATAAACGGCTGTCAAAATTTAGGGGAATCTTGATATTGTCAGGTAAAGTAGGGGAGGTTATTGTAATTATTCAAACCACAGGGGTGGTCCCTGTATTTGTCAGAAACCTCAGGGGAGGTAAATGTAATTTACCCAAAAAAATACTACAAAACAGATCATTAGAATGGTGGGATCTCTTCAAAAGGATGTCCCAAATATTTTCCCTAAGATTATATTATTATTAGGACAAACTTTACTTCACCCACTATGGTTAAGGTCATATGTGGATTACCTTTGACTTTTAAATATTATCACATAATTCTTCTGTGGTTGATGGAGTAATGTGCACAATTAACTTTTTTGTGTATTCTAACTAGCTGTGCAGTACACGCGAGTGTGGTACAAATGAGCATGAACTAATGATATTCTCTCACAATGAAAAGACCAAAATGCCCCTAGGGTTAAACATAAAAGTTTACCCAAGAAGATTATTTTTTATATTGCCTCGTTGCTTTGTATGTTGAGTTGTAGGCTAATCTAACCAGCAAAAATGTCATCTTCACGCATTAGAGGTGGAGAAGGACAAATGTTGAGGTTCATAAGCAAGAAATGTCATTGTGGGAGAAAAGCAGCCATTAGAATCGTGGACTCCGAGAAGCCTTCAAAAGGTAGGTTGTACTATGTTTATGAAAATGCAGGTTTGGGGGGTTGTGATTTCTGGGCTTGGTGCAACCCAGTTGGATATGCTCTCATCTATGGAAGAGATGAGATTGACGATGAGATGCCAAGAGTTGAGGAAGGAGTCCAATTTAATGGAAGACTGATCAAGCTGGAGATAAAGATGGAGGTACTAACCATGATGATGAAGACATCTATGGTGGTTTTGCTTATGTGTTTTATTTCCACCATGTTAATGTTCAGTATGAAATGAATTTGTAAGAATTTGTAAGGTGCTTTATGTACTTGATGTATGTTTGAAAGCAATGAATTATGTTTATGAAATTTGTGATTTTTGTATGTTCTTTTTTATTGGAACATGAAAATGCATTGAAAATTATTCCAACACAAACCCTGCTGAGTTTAATTGGAAAAAAATCAACAAATTCTTAATTTTTTTTACTGCATTCCAATGCAAAATACACAACCAACATTTCCAACACAAACAAATTGACTGTATACTTAAAGCAATGGTAACCCTACTGAGTTGATTTGCAAAACAATAGGCCTTATTCCAAATCAATGCACTTGAAGCAATGGAACAAAAATGACAAAAAAAAACTAAAATTGACAATGCTATTCAATACCAATCCATTTACAAAAGTATGCTGACAATGCCATTCAATACCAATCCATTTATAGAAGTATGCTGCATTTGAAAACCATTCTCAAAAACCATAACTCTAAATACAAAAACCATAACTCTAAGTGTTCGTCTATCCTTCCTTAGCTTAAATACAAACACAACACATCCTACAATATTGTTTCATTACAAAAACATAAATAATAACAGGTAATCCTATAGTCTACTTTGACCCAGTTGCCAGTTCTTTGTCCTGTCTCCTTACTTTGATTGTCTCTAATACAGAAGTTATTGAAACAGCATGCCCTCTGACATTAGCATTCACTCTAGTTCTTCCAACATTGACTGCAGATGCAGTTGCATTAATTGGTCATTTACCCCTCCCACCAACTGTGATTTCAGGTCCTTTGCCAAGACAACTTGATGTCTTTCCACCATGGTTTGGTAGTTTTGTGGGCTGCAACAACATTTTCAATTAACAAACTGAAAAGTTACAAAATAAAAAAGTTGGTTATATAAACAAGTGAGTTACCTAAGTGGATGACCTAGTACTCCTCATCTTCAGTCCAATAGAAGCAGTACTCATTGGTGGCTGAGATGCTGCTTGGCCTCCTCTTCTAGTTTGGCTCTTACTGGATATTTGGGGCAAAAAAAATTTCAGTTAGGAACAAATTGGACAAACTACTGTTAGTTTCCTACTTGAAGTTACAAGTCAATATTAAAAGTTGGTTACCTCATTTGATGGCATGTGTAACACCCCAAAAATGCAAATTATAATTATTTGAATTATCCACGTGTTAATTGCGGATTATATGATTTAATTTGTATATATCTATCCAAATTGGGAAAATATTTGTTAAGAATACAACTTTGGAATTGAAATTGAGAACATGGAGAATTTTTAGAATCATCTTGGAGGTTTAATTAAAAATTGATTTTTGTCTGATTCGTAAAGTTATTTTTGGCTCTCATTACTTGTATTGAGTTTAAAGATGGTTAGTTAAAGCATAATTCATATTAGTGTGATTAAAATTAGTTTAATTTAAATTAGATTATGATGTGTATGATGAGAAATGAATCAATTTAGTTAATGTGAATTATGAGCTAAACTTATAATTAACTAAAGCTTAAGATAAAATTAGTGAATAAAATAATCTCCGAACTCTATTCATTTAGTTAAGAAGGAAGAGATATGTTTTAGGGAGAGAGTACGTGGGTTTTGTTGGGAGACATTTCTTGAGAGAAAGAGACTTAAGGTTGAAAGGAGCTCTAGAGAAGAACATTGAAGACCAAGCTTCCATCTTTATGAATTGTCAATTCAAGGCAGGAGTTTCAACTCAATTTTTTGTAATTAAGACATCCATACTCATAATCTTTTAGGAGGTTAGTGTAATTAAGATGTATTCATGGTTATTGGGACTTTTGTGGTTGTAATTGAAAGTTTAGAACATGCAAGCCTAGTTAAGGGATGGATTGAAGAAATTAGTCCATGAATCTATCATGCATGGCATTAATTAAAGTAATTAACACATAAACTTAACATGCATGTTCTAAATTCATATGAGACATGTCCATATAATTGATTTCTTGCATGGTTTATGAGATTTAAAGAGAAAAATCTCCATGAATTTTGAGTTTGGGACCCAAAGTGCATGTGTTATGATTTTGCTTTCCAATTTAAGAGATTGATCTTTGTATTTGGAACCTTGAGTTTTGATTTGAAGTTATAATGTTTATTTCAATGTGTTTTGAGCCTCATTTTGCATGCAAAAGAGTTGGGTTTGCAAGAAAGTAGAAGACCCATCGTTTAACAAATTTTCGAACTAATTTTTCACCCAGACCGCTCGAGCAGCCTAGGCCACCGCTCGAGCGGCCAACCTTGATTTGGCCAAAGATGTATTCTGCAGTTCCACCGCTCGTGCGGCCAAGGCCACCACACGAGTGGCCAAGGCTACCGCACGTGCGGCCAAACAGGACAGATTTTCTGGTTTTTGTTTCTTTCCGTTTTCTGACTTTCGGACTTTCGTTTACACGGTTTTCACATGTCATATGCATCCATATACGCCTCATGAGCATGAAATAAAATAAGAAAATAAGAGAAATAATTGAACTACCGAGTAACGGATAATTGGATGAGGTTAAGAACCAATTACATGACTCGATTATGTATTGAGAAATTGTGCTATGAATACTTGTGTTTGTAGGCCAAGACTCGAAGACCGAACAACGAGTATTGGAAGACCACTGTGAGTAACATTTCTGTAAAGATATGTTGATATAAATTATGTTTTAATTGTTGTCGATAAGCTATGGTTTCTTGAAATGCTATCTTGATTATGTGAACGAATATCCTATTTGCGAACCTAATATGGCATCCACGGATAGTCCCAAGTCATGGGGGACAGCACATTAGTGCGGGTCCATGACATACATGTGATACAAGATCTCGTTAGCCACTTCATTGTGGTGATATGTGTTTAATTGGTATCCAGAACCGATTACACTAATCGGAAGATGATATGTGATATGTTCTGTGAGATATACCATTACATTATGTTCTGATATGAGACTGATATGATTGATTGTGATATGATTTGTTTTACGGATATTGTATTTGGAATTCGTTCATTAACCCCTTTTACGTTAATGTTATTCACTGGGCTTTAGCTCACTGTTTTTATATATGTATTTATAGGTGAACGCCCCAGAAGTCAAGCCAAGGCGGGGTCTTGAACCGAGCCACCGCTTTAAAGCCTACCAAGTGTTTTGGGTGACTCCGAGTTGGGGCTAGGCCTGGAAGGCTATTAGCAAGCTTTGTTTTTGTTGTACTTTTGACCCGTAGATATGTTTTATAGAAGATATTGTGTTATGTGTTATGTATTGTAAGTGGGTATATTAACGTTTTGCATGTAAACAGTTGTTCATATAGATGCACAGCTCATTGGACTTATGGTATTTTGTCTTTACTTCCGCTAGCCCCGATTATTTATGTTTTGTACAGGAAGGCCTTTGGTAATCTTAGATTACTGGCCGGTTACAACGCTAAACCCATAGGGGCAGGTTTGGGTCACGACAGGATGTTTGTTGTTAGAGTTAGAGTAGGAGTAGGAGTTGATACAGGTTGAGATGATTGCCCACTAGTAGATCTCTATTGCAATAAACAAATTAAGTATACAACAAACAAATAACAAAATGTGTACAATAAATGAATGCATAAGTATACACTAAGCTTCACCATTTTGGACTTAGGATGCAATTTGTTCTTGCATGACCTTTGATTGTGCCCCTTCTGCAAACACTTAGCACATGTCACATTGATGCTCTTCCTTGATGCCTTGTGTGGATTTCTTGGCTCATCTGCTTGTCTATTTCTTAACTTCTTTGGTCTGCCTGTTAATTTCTTTGCTTCTAGTGGATTTAATTTCTGGCCACATTCCTCATACTTATGCATGTCTGGAACTGGGTGTATCGTGAATGCATAAGTATCCAAGTACCTAGACTTGCTATAATACTCATGCACATAGGCTTCTGACTGCTCAAGATTGATTTGAATGACACTGATGCCATGACTACAAGGCAAACCAGACAAATCCCATCTCCTGCAACTGCATGTCCTAGTACTTAGGTCCACTATGTACCTCCTCTGAAAATGATCAACCTCAAATTCCAATTGTCCACACCAGGTTGCAAAGCAATTCCTTGATTCCATCTTCAACTTCTCAAGTTTGTCATGAATATTGGGACAAATCTCACCATTGTATTTTGCCATTCCAGCCTTTTTAACTTGAATCATTTGCATCATTTTCCTTATGATCCATTCAAACATGGAGATTATTGGTAGCTCTCTAGCTTCTAAAATGTAAGAATTGAATGACCCACTCAAATTGTTCACAAGGATGTCACACTTGCTCCTTGGAGAAAAATGTGACCTTGCCCACAAAACAGGGTCAATTTGTTTTGTTCTGCTTAAGTACTTCAACCGAGTTATGAATTCCGGTTGACGAGGCGTTCTTTTCAAACAATGATTTATACCGAGATATTTTGCTGAAGATGGAATTGATGACTACCGTGCAAACACTTGGCAAAATTTGAATTTTTCATTGACAAGAAAATCATTACAAAAGGTGGGGACAGAGCCCGGTTACATCAGAAATGTTGAAAGTAAAAATACAAAAAAGAAAAAAGAAAACTAAACTAGGGGGGAGAGATTGGTGAACTCGTCCTCGCCAGCATCAAGGTTGATGGTTGGACTTGCGTCTTGGGCACCGGGCTCAGCATTGCCGGGCTGCTCTTGCACCTCGGCCTTCTCTGCCTCAGAATCTGTCTCACCATCTCCATCTTCAAGTCCTTCCTCGGCCTCAACTTGTAAAGCGCTGAAAACGTCGTTTGCATAAGGCACGAGGTAGACCGGTAGCGAAGCTGGAGGGGGGTTGGCAAATATGTCGGTGTCAGAGCCCTGGCCGAGGTGTTCGCAGGTGGACTTCCAGCCGGCCTTGAAGTAGATGTCTTGTGTTGCAAAGACTTGCTTTTTGTAGCTCTGCTCGGCCTCGTTAAAACCAGCGTTGTTGGCAGCCCGGCAAGCTTTCTTCTTCGACTTCTTCAGGGTGTCCACCTCGGTCTGGAGCTCATTTTGTTTTTTCTCGGCCGCATTCAGCTGACCGAGCAGTCTGTTATTATCAACGTTGGCCATCTCGAGGGAAGCCCTAGCCCGGCCGAGCTCGGCTTGAAGGCTCTCGACCTGGCTGGCTGTGTCGTTGGCCTTTTGCCGAAGCCTGTGGATGCGCTCCAAGACGAGATGTTGTTTTTGAATGGCCTGCAAAAAGCAAGTTGATTAGAAACGGAACCGGGCAAACACTTGTGAAATTTTCAGAGGAACATCGACTTACCCTGGCCATAGACTTCACTGACGATTTGACCAACCGGGTGTCGGGGACGTGGTCGCTGCTGACCACGTCGCTCGGTAGTAGCAGGGCTTTGGACAGATCGAAGGCAAGCAGATGCCCTTTGTCAGCCTTGATCGAAGCCGTTGTCGGGATGTCTTGACCCCGGTGCTTCAACTGTGGGCGCCAGGCCGGCATTGGGGCGGGGGCGTCAGACGGATGCTCAGTGGTAAGCTCGGCGACTAACTCGGTGGATGGGTCTGCCCGAGCTCTTTTACCGGTGCGTCGTGCAGAGGGTTCTCGGCTGGATTGCCCGGCGGATTGAGAGGCAAGGGCGACCACGGCGCCACTGGATTGACCGGCGGCTGGCGAGCGAATTACGACGCTCGGCATCTCGGCGGATGTGGCGGTGAGCAGGTTCTTGATTCTGCTGCGCTTGGCCATTTCTTGCTCCTCGGTCAGGCGAATGAGGGGAACGTCTGGCAGAGTAGGATCTGGAGGCAGCGAAGGAGCGTGGAGGAAGTCAGTTACTCTACTCCGGCGCGGAGCAGAATACCTGTAGGTCGGTGTGTAGCCGAGTAAATCGTTGCAATCTCGGTGAGGATACCGAAACACGGTCTGAATTGCTTCGACGTTGGGAAATTGATAGTTGGCTTGCAAGGCTTGGATTGCTGCAAAAGAAACAGGAAAACCGGTTAGTTACAAAGTAAAGAGTTAAGCTAACCGAGCAAGTTTGAGTGGCTTACATGAAGAACCGAAGTCCTTATTTATGAACCAGCTCGGCACCTCGGCTGTTTCGTAATTGCCCGACACCCAGAAAAAATCGTCGTCGTGCAGATCTTTATCCGGGGTGCCGGTTACAATTTTTTCCTTGCCCGGTCTTATCTTCAAGTAATATGCTAGGCCGTCGCCGGTGTGGCCCATTGTGTATTACCTTAATATCTTGGCTAGACCTAAGTTGGTGCCTAGCCGATTGTTCAATTCATGAACACCGTTGATAATTCTATAGGTATTGGTGGACACTTGTGTGGGTGCTAGCCCGGTGCGGCGAAGGAACTCGGTTATAAGAGGGTTGAGCGGGAAACGGAGGCCCCCTTCGACAATGGAGAGCATGGTGAAGGGGCATTGGTCAAGTCTGCCCCAGGGTGTGGTCTCCTCTTCATCCAGTTCGAGATGAACATCGGCCAGGATGCCGTAATCCTCTCTGAAAGCAGCTAGCACGGCCGGAGTATCCACTAGGAAGCGGAATTTCCCCATTTGTGGCCGGCTTAGTGGATCCCGGCTGAGGGGTTTGGCACTGGTTATTGGATGCTGCTCGGTCCTGAGAGCCTCAGGAATGACAATGGTCCCCTTGGACTCTGCAGGAAAAGGATGGCAAGTGTTAAGTGTGAGCGCGGTCGCGCAAAAGGAGCTGGACTTTAGCTCGGTCATTAAGAGTGCCAAACCACCTCGATTGTCTATTCTATCTAAGGAGCCCGGTCGCCCAAGCAGACCAGATGTTAGCCCGGTTGAGCGACCAAGTCCTTTTGTTATCTCGGTTTTTGCTGGGGTTGAGGCAAACATGTTATTTGCTCGGTCAGATTGGTTTTTTGGATCAAAAGAAGACCAGGAGCCTGGTTCGCTCCAGTTCTTCAGTGTTCTTCAGGAAGAAGAAGAACACCAAGAACAGTGGGAGGTTTGGGACGGATTCTATGGCCTATGCCCTAAGAGCTACATTTTTGTGCCCTATTGTGTGTAATATGAAAGAAAATAGCAACAAAATAGAGGTAGAAGGACTCACCAGTGAAGGGCAGGGTCGAGTCCCTCGAACACGAAGAATGGCAGACGAGTCAAAGGCAAAGATGCTAGAGCTCTGGAATTGTGAGACGGAATAGCAGTAGGAGGAGATGAAGTTTGGAGGTCCTGTATGTATAGACCAGTGAGAGGCTGCCCAAATTCAAATTCTGGGAAAAACGGCGGGTTGGCTTCTCGATGACCAATGGGAGCCTGCCACGTGTCCCCATTTATGGCGACATCAAGACTGAAGCGACGGGTTGAAGAGTCGAAGAGCCCACCGAGCTATTTTTGAAGAAAAGGATGTCGGCCGAGGAGTATAACCGGGCAAGTTTGCAGACAGTTATGTTAACTAGCCCGGTCGAGGTTTGGCATCTTGAAGACCGGAGAAATGCTACCTCGGTCGAAGTGAGTAATCCCAGTCACGCTTTCGCGGACGGAATTAAGGGGCAATTGAGAGGGTGATTTGTGACCTGGAGGTGGGCCGAGGCAACAGCCGAACAGGTTGAGAGCCCAACGGTACATGGGGCCGAGATGATCGACTATCCGCCCAGAGATGGGCTGCCAGAACTTGGGCCGGGCAGAACTTGGGCCAAGTGTGAGCCGCCCCGGACCGAAAAGAAGCTCGGCAAGGTAGTGCTCGGTTGGACCGAGCTGCCTGATCAGGGGATGGCTGAAGCCAGACAGGCTGAGTGACCGGCGCCCGGAAAGGCGTGGTCAACCGAGGAGACCGTTTGATCGGCAGGAAGGCCGACCAAAGGAGGTGCCCGGGCTAGGCTCTGCCGAGATGCTGCCTAGCCCGGTCCTCCTTGTGTTTATCTAGTGAGGTGCTTGGGTATGAAGCATAGCATGGCCGTGGTAGAGCAGCTCGGCTGCCGAGCTCTAGCTGTGAAGTCAGGCAGTTGAGATTAGGTGATGTTCAGCAAGGTTTATGCTGACAGATGGGATAGCGGAGCCACGTGTAAGGAGACGACTGAGAGTAGATACGGGGCACAGAGGGTATATAAGCATGTCTGCGCCCCCCATACGCGACGGATGAACACTTTGTAAGGATTTTCTTACACAAAAACACCTCCATCTCTCTCTTTCTCTCTATCCTAAGGTGTGTGCTAACTTGATTGTCGGAGGGTTTTTCTGGCCACACACCGCCGGGTAGCTCACTATTCTTTGCGCGCAGGTGATCGGACATAAACGGAGCTTGGAAGAAAGGAGTACGGGCTTGCCGGAATATTTGCTCCCCGTACAGTTAATTATTTCATTCACCCTACCACCCTCATAAACAACATGTGGATGAAAGACAAAATGGCCCCCATGGTGCATTTGAACAGTCATGAATTTGTCTGACATTTTTAGCATTCACTTCTAAAGTAGAAAAGACTTTCATCAATACATTATGAGACCACAACCTACAACCCTAAACCCTAAACAAAGATATAGTCATGCATGTAACCAACATAAACTAAAATAATAAATAATCTCTAATCCTCAAAGAGATCACACAAAACAGAAACAGAATATAAAAGCATAAAGTCATACAATACAAATGCCTACAGTATATGACAAATATAAAGTAATAGAATTAAAAAACCTATTCTTCAGGCATGAAGTTAAAAGTTAATTGAATAAAGAAACAAACAGAGTAATATACTGAGGATTAGGGATAAACTTCACCTTTTAAGTGCATACCCTACACAAAATACAATAACAAAAAACAAACAAAGTAATACACTAACATCATTCACTACAAATAAACAAACAACCATAGGGGACCACAGTATATGAACTTCATATATACAAAACCACCATAGTAACAGGATATAAACACCTGTATCAAACACAGTGTCCATGACAAAAAGCTAACCATTAATGGTATGAAAAAGGGAGGCACACAAACCCTAATAAACAAAACATACGGGACCACAATATACAACAACAAAAAGTACATCAACTAACATTTTATATATATATATCAGCAAATCGAACTGAATGAAATACAAAATAAAAAGCAATGATCAAAAAAATACCTTACAACTTATTCTTCGTGAACTTTTGTGCTTTGTTTGCTTCGTAAATCTCCAGATCGGTGACAATCGAACAATCGAAGCCTTACTTTCTCAAATCTATACACTATTTCGTTCGATTGAAACCC